AGTTTTTAAGGACATGTAAAAACCAACTACTAACTTCATATGGAAAGGAAAGAGACCTAGGATAAGCAGAGCACTACTGAAGAAGAAAAACAAAGTGGGAAGTCTCACACTCCTGGATCTTAAAACCTAGTATACAGCCATAGTAGTCAGAACAGCATGGTATTGGTACAATGATAGACAGATAGACCAATGGAACAGAATAGAAAACTCAGAAATAGACCCATTCATCTATGTACAGCTGATTTTTGACAAAGGTCCAAAATCCATTAAATGGAGAAGAGATAACTTCTTTAACAAATGGTGCTGGCAGAATTGGATATCCACTTGCAGAAAAATGAAACAAGACCCATACCTCACCCAGTACACAAAAACAAACTCAAGTTGGATCAAAGACTTAAATGTTAAACTAAATGTAAAAGTAAAATTCATCAAAGATAAAACAGGGGCAAATCTAGGGGCCCTAATTTACAGTATAAATAGACTATCAAATATAACCTGGAATGCACAGCAGGTCGAAGAGAAGCTAGATGACTGGGACCTTTTAAAAATTAAGTTTTTATGCATATCAAAAGACTTCATCAAAAGGGTCGAAAGAGAACCTACAGATTGGGAGAAAATATTTGCCTATGACATATCTGACGAAGGACTTATCTCCAAAATCTGTAGAATACTTCAACACCTTAACACCAAAAAACAAACAACCCAATTCAAAAATGGGCAAAAGACTTAAACAGATATCTCACTAAAGACGATATGCTGGTGAGCAACAAACACATGAGGAATTGCTCATGATCTTTAGCCATTAGAGAAATGCAAATCAAAACAATGATGAGATATGATCTTAGCCCAGCAATAGTACCAAAGTTCAACAAGACAGAAAATAACAAATGCTGGCAAGGTTGTGGAGAGATTGGAACTCTCATACACTGCTGATGGGATGGTAAAATGGTACATCCATTGTGCCAAATCGTATAGGGTTTCCTTGAAAAACTGAAAGTAGAAGTACCATTTGACCCAACAATTCCATTACTAGGAATATATCCTAAAGAGGTGAGAGACAGGACATGAACAGACATATGCACACCCATGTTGATCGCAGCACAATTCACTATAGCAAAGAGATGAAAACAACTTAGATGCCCATCAGCAAATGAATGGATAACCAAATTATGGTACATTCACACAATGAAATACTATGCTACATTAAAGAACAATGAAGGATATGCCAATCATCTCACAATGTGTTGAGCCTGGAGGACATTATACTGAGTGAAATAAGTCAATTGCAGAAGGACAAATATTATATGAACCCATTACTGTAAAAAATCAAGGAAGGGTTTGCTTAAGGAAGGGAACTCACTTTGTAGGTTACTGGGGAGGGGAGGGAAAGGGAGGGGATAATTTTGGGCTAGATGGGGACCACACACTGAGGTGGGTAAGGGGAGGGATTGTATGGAAAAAGTCTATGACCAACATGATAACATTGGGGAAAAGAAGGACACCAAATTGTGCACATAAAATACAAATGAAAGAGGCTAATCCAGTATATCCACAATACTGCATTACCATTAACAACAAGCATCAGGCTGCAGATAAACACACAGACAACTGAGAAGATCAGATGGGAATCAGTGAACAGGATTATACTCTAGACCAAAGATAGATTCAGCTGAGGCTAATCTTGCACGGATACCAGTGATACAAAATACCTGCAATCATTACAGAAACAACAGAAGACAGGCATAGAGAAATCCCTCAGAGATAGCCAGAGACTATGGGAGAGAGATCCAATGGATCTGTCGACTCAGGACGATGGTATTGAGGGACACCAAACTCAATTGGCAGAACGAAATACATTTAAAAAATATTGTTCCACAACCTACATTGGTGAGTAGCAACTGGGGTCTTAAAAGCTTTCGAGCAGCCATCTAAGATGCAGCTAACGGTCTGCTATCACCAGAAGCAAAGAAGAATGAAAAAACAACAACAACAACAACAAAAAAACAACAAGGGCATTTGGAAGCAATCAGCCCCAGGGCATGATGCACTCAAGACCAGAAGAACTAGATTGTGCCTGGCTACCAGTGCTAACCACTGGGGAAGATATGAAAACTGAAGATCCTAGATATAGTGGGAAGAAAAATGTGGAACAAAATCCCAAAACACAATAAGCACAAAATAAACACAATAAACCAGAATTATTGATCAGATGGAGTCTGGTGGGACCCCTCCCAAGACTATGGTCCTGGAATACACTTTGGGCCTGGGATAAAACTCACTCCCAAGGGCTGGCTCTCAGCCCAATAGTAAATAAGATGTACATGTAGACCACTCAATCCGAGGTAATGCACCCACATACTCTATGGAGATACATCCCTTGGAGCAATTGGCCATGGGGCACCAGAAGAGCAACATTTGCATGGGGGAAAAGCAGGACACATGGGAGTGGACAACTAAGAAGGGCATGGTGGGTGGGGGCAGTTACTGGGAAGGGAGAGGAGGAGAGTGGGTTAGGGATGGGGATGGTAATTGGGGAGAGAAACCAAATATACATGAACTGTTGAATGTAAAACAAATTCTGCTCTTTAAATTTGCACCTAAAGCACACACACACATACACACAAAATGAATATCCACAGTTGAATTCCTACTCCACATCCTTAATCTTTGAACTTTAATTTCCTTCCATTTCATTTATCACTAAAATTTTATTTTTATCTTGATAATTTCGTATTGCATTGCTCTTCTATTTATTAGGTTAATTGTTAGGTGTGTTCTCATAATACTTTATTTCCCATATCTTTGAAATACATTCACTCTATCCATTATCAACATTCCTGCCTCATTCAAATGAATTATTTTTAAGCAAGATAAGCCTCCTATCATATTTTTAGGCAAAATCAAGGTAGCTTTTTTTTTTTTTATGGTTTTTGAGTTATAAAGAAAGTACTTCCTTATATAGAATGTAAGCCTTGTAAAAAAGAAAGTAAAATATCAGTTCTCAAGTGTTTGCATTGCTTCCTGAGATCCTTTGCATGAAGTCCTGGTGAAGTAGCCTGGAAACAAGTAAATTGTCCTCTAATCCTGGATAAGGAACCTGTAAGAGACAGTCATTGCTGTGTACTGATACTTTGAGTGTGAAATGTTCCATAAGTTGGCTCTATTGCAATTCAATGTGAAACTTATATGACTCTCCTGGTTTTTTACTATAAATTGTTGAAGAGTGTGATGTCAGAAATCTGATGGAATCACATTCTTCCTTCCTAAATTTAAACTTTTGAGACTTGATGGTAGAGAGCAGATTTGGCTCATTACAGCTATCAGAGAAGAGACTGCAGCCCAATACAGCCTCATGGTTACTGGTAGAACTGATGACATAAGGGAGGGAAAAAGATGGCCTGTCTGTAGACCCTGGACCTGAACTTGGTGTGCTCATCTCAGAGAGATAGGAAACTGAACAGAGCCCTGGCTCTTGTTATGGACCCCAGAGGCAAGGGTGAAGCATTTGTCCCATTCTCAATGATACAACCTAAAGAAGTTTTCACTGTGACAAGCCCAGTGACAGTGACTCCTCCTCTCAAAAGGGAGGAGTTAATAAGAGGTGATTGAGAGGTGCCACAAGTGTGTGTTCCCATGCTACCCCATCTGTCTTAGTTACCTAGAAGTACCTCTATAACAGAAGTAGCACTGGTGAGAAGAGAAATTTATTTTCTCATAGCTCAGAAGGCTAGAAGTCTGAATTCAGGATGTGGCTCCAGGGGAAAGTCCCTTCTTGTCTGTTTCAACTTCCAGTAGCTGCCAAGTATGCCCTGGTGGTATAGTAATTAACATGGTTGGCTGCTAACTCAAAGGCCAACAGTTCAAAACCACCAGCTGCTCTGCAAGGGGAAAAGACCTGGTGATTTGCTCTAGTAAAAATTACAGCCTAAGAAACTCTATGGGGAAGTTCTACTCTGTCCTGTAGGGTCCTTTTGAGTTGAAATCAACTCAAGAGCACACAACAATAGCAGCTACCGACATTCCTTGGCTTTCCTGGACTTGTAGATGTATCTGACTGTTGTCTGTCTTCCTCTTCCCTCTGTGTATATCACTGTGTCTGTTCTGTTATTTTTATAACTCAGAAGTGTTTAGGTTTAGGGACCATCCTACAATGATAAGACTTGATTAGCATAACAAATAAAGCCCCTATTTCTAAACAGTATCACATCCATGGGTACAAGCACCAGGATTTTAACATATTTTTTGGGGACCCTTTTCAATCAACATCCTATTAAGGAGAGGAGATTTTCCCTCTGCCTTGAGGAGCAGAAGAGAGAGATGTTTCCTTTCTCGATAGTAGATTCAGAGGCCAAGCAGGGACACAGAAAATGAAGGTTCAGGGAAATGAAGTTACTTGTTCAATATCACACAATTAGTGGATGACAAGGCTGGAATGCAAATCCAGTTTGATCTTATTTAAAACCTTAACTCTTGTGGGAGTACAATTGACTCTCTATGGTACTTTCTTTGTTGTAAGTCTCATAAGAACGTAATACATTCATAGTGATAAGGTTTTTAGGTCAATGTTCCCATATTTATATTTGTTGTATAGAGCCTGGATTGTTGATTTGAAGATTAGAAAGCTGCAGAGAAACGCCCAGAAACTCACCGCAGCCTCAGAAGTTACCCCTTGTCTGAAAGCAGATGTGCTCGTGATTTTTTTTTCCAATGGTTCATCCTTCACTTTAATTCTTACTTACTCTGAGATGCCTTGATATTGTATACCGACTCATTTCACCAATCCTACTAGTAATTATATATGAAAAAAATCAATTGACTTGAGAAATTGGGAAACTGGCCAACATATTAAATTTTTAACTATGTAGAAGCAAAGTTAAGAATTGCTGCTTCTTAATCAGCAGCTATTGAATTAAAGAGGGGATATTATTTTTTATTACTTGTACTTAAAGACAAATAATTTGATCAGTGGCTGTTCTAAGTGGTTTTTGTATTTCTTTCAGATATTGCCCATTTAATGTGGTTTGAAAGACTCTATGTTTGGCTTCAGTATTTTGAAAAATATATCTTGTATCCAGCAATAATTTTGAATGCTCTCACTATTGATGCATTTTCAATAAGCAATTACCGGAGACTTGGTACCCAGTAAGTAGATAATGATTTATTCTTAAAATGTTTTGGATCACAATGTTTTTAAATCCAATGACTTTCTCTAAACAAGCTGCAGCAGAAGCCAACATATACCTACTAATTACTGGAGATGTAAAAGTGAGCCATGGTGGTCTTTTACTCAAACCCACTAAAACTAGCTGGTATTGTAGTATGACTGGGATGTAAACAAAGTTAGATCTGCTCCAAGAGATGTTATGAACAAATGTTGTTAAATTTGAAAATCATCTCCCAAAGGCTTAGTCAGGGAGCTTTAATAAGATGATGGAAGCACAGTGTGAATCCAGGGCTCCTGGAGTTCTCACCGTTGTGCTCTTGTCGTCTCATTTAGCAGATGCTCTATCATGTTGTACTGGGGGAGGGAGAATCAATCACTGTCATTGCTCTCTCTGCATTTATCAGGTGAAGCCTCATAATTAAAAATCTGGAGCACAGAGGCTTATACAGTCAAGATCCTTGTGTTTTTGTGAGCATTAACAAAGTATAGTCAGGTTATTTGTTTCAGATATTAAAATTACCTCTGAATTTATAATGGAAAGCTACTTGATAATTTGTAGATTTCTCATTCTTTACAAAAGGTGAATGTTTCTGGTCAAATAAATTGTTAGAGTAGGAGGAAGAGAAAGAAATTCTCTTCCCCAGATTTGCTTATTAGTCACGTTTCTTACATACCATGTGCATAGCTACACTCTAGTAGATAATCCCAAGCATACGAATTCAGATCCACTCTTCTTTTCAGGGGTGATAAAGGCATGTTAATTAATATTTGCTAAAGATTGAGCAAGCGAAGAAAAAAAGGCTTTCTGCTACTCTGTTGGACTTTGGCTAGGTTCAGTCACAAAAAGTAGACACCACAACTTTCCTGTCTTCCTTCCAGTCCACATCAATTTTGGCTAGGCTAGGACAAGAAAGGGAGCTCTGGTAGCGTAGTACCTAAGGCACTTGACTGCTAACCAGAAGGCTGGAGGTTCAAACCCACCAGCCACTCCTTGGAAGGAAGATGGGGCAATCTACTTCCATAGTGATACTGCCTCAGGAACCCAAGGAGGAGTTGCTATGAGTCGGGTCTGACTTGACAGCATATAACAACAAAAACAACAACAGGACAAGAAATCAAAATTGTTAGGTATCTGTCATGTTAGACTTAAGATCCAGAGATGAGAATTAGCTCCATTGGATAAACAAAGCAGACAATGGGAAAAGCCCAGTCTAGAAGATGACACTCTATATTGGGACCATCCAGTGCTCCTACTTGTGGTAAGGATTTCCAGTATGACACAACCCTGGAAATCCCCTTGACTATATCCCAGAACAAGGAAGAGCCTCAATTTCTAGTACAAGGACATGCAGTCAGAACCACAATAACAAAGAAGGTTCCAGGACTGCCCCAGGGCATCAAGCTAATGACTTAAAGGTCTCCTCACCCAATACCAGGATTAGGACCTGGAGCTGAGCCTGCAAGGTGAGGCCAAACAGTTTTGGTTGGGACTCCTGGCAGAATCAAACAGCTCACAGAGAGTCCAGTCTGAAGTAGTATCATTCTCTGTCCCTTGTACTTGGTATTTTCCTAAGCATTAAGTCAGCAAGGAATACCTTATCTATCTGTCTCCCAATAGTCTCAACTCCCAGATGGTACCATCAGAATTATTTTTCTCAGGACCCAAAGCTGACAAATTCTTTCTATTCTTGAAACATCCATTCAAAATTTTTTTTTTTTTAAAAAAAACATTTCATGATTTCAGACACCCTACTTGACCATCTGTTCTCAAACAGGACAGCAGGAAACAGTATGTCAGTATCACCTAGAGACTTTTTCAAACTATATGAGCTCAGCCCCAACTCTGTCTTTCTGTCTTCTCTGAAAATCACTAAACCACATAGTGGATTCTTCAAAACCTCAATAGTTTCTTATCCAACTTTTTGTACCAGACACCTCGCAACTGTTAGAAAAATTGATGGATGGATGATGGAGTATGATGAGTGGATGAATTAAGGTATCTTGTTATATGTGTGTGTGTATAACAAAATGTTCTAAATGGATTCTCTGCTTCTGGAGGCCTGTGTTTACTGGTTTACTGATGCCTAAGCCTTTATTGGAGGAGGGGAAACCCAGGCCCGCCCAGAGTAGCAGGCCAGAAGAGCAGGAGAAAGGGGATAAAAGCCTTGAACCTGGACAGAAGAGCAGTCAGCCCCAGGGTTACAGGTGAGGAGAGACAACGCAGGGATGCCCAGAGTAGCAGGCC